ACACTTTTGAAATAACCACATTTTTAAAAACAAGATGGGCAAAAAAATTGTTTGGCTCCTGGTTTCCCAACCAACCCTAAGTTTTCAGCGTGACCATAAAATGTTTATTGGCATGTTAAAAAAAATTCGTTTTTATATGCTGCTTTTTTTTCTTTCTTCACAAAACACATCTGGACAATCTTTTGTCACGTTAAAATGCTTGTACTTTATAAGTTTGCCTGCTTACATGTACAGTACGTTGGCAACTTTTCAAAAGAAACCTGTTATTTTCACGAGTTCCCTTTACATTTGCTGTTGCGTTGGTGAAAATAAAACGAATTTGCCAAACAGCCTTGCTTCATAAAGCTGAAGTGCCCAAAAATTTGATTGGAATACAACACCCCAAAAAGGTCTCCCAATTTACAAAAAAGACAAAACCACCTGTACAAACTTCTGAGAGTACCTTCCAGAAGAAACAGAAAATATACAAGGTATAGATCATGGTGCAGATCAAGTGGCCTTTCCACACTAATATATATTTTACTTTGTTTTCAGCCATAAACAAGGATACCTTAATTTAATCTTGGAAATAAATACGAGGCCAGATTATATTTACAATAATGGTTATCTCTATGTATCAGGGTTCCAGCTGGAAAAAGTTGTAGCCAAATGTTTGATTTTATAGCCATCCTGCAACTTTATGAGCCAACATTATGTATTTTGTAGCCAATTTGTTTGACAATAAAGATAAACAAATAACACGTTATCCGCTCTGATTCTTTTCAGTTTGTGTGAACTGCTTTTCAAATGGATCAGTTATTATAAACAGACTAGCATTTAATAAAAACTACATCCTGCACGTCTCATATTTCAAATGTTTGTTGGAATTTATTTCCATACATCTCGTATTTCACACGTTTTGCTGTAAGTTATTTCCAAGGTACATGTAAGTACATGTGAAGAATACATATAGATATGAATAATTCAGATACCAAGAATACAAGGTTTTTCACCAGACCACAGTTTGAATACCCGAAGGAAACCAAACACATTTCTTGGAGGGCACCTTCAGTAGCAACCCTCATCAAGGTATCCAGTTTGTTGGGTTTGAGGTTGCATCGTTTTATATAACGTAAGCACAAAATTATGCGGAGACTAAGCGTACTTATTCGTGTTCAAGGCCTAGGAAGTACAATGCAACTTGTACATTGTGGGGCCAACACATACTGTACCTGTTAACCGGCGTGCACTCGACCAGACTCGGGCCGAGACGAATTTTTTTTAGCTTGCCCAATCAGGCAGGCTATGCACTAAATTTGGTTGCCTGAATTGGATCAACACTTGCCCAAGATTTCTCGAAATCCGCGATAATTGTGGTTATTTAACTTAGGCCTACTGCATGCAAGCAGTCTTTTATTTGGCCAAAAAATAGCTGTGCTTCCGATCACACAATCGGGCATTAGGTCAGAAATATTTTGGTTGGGGAGGCAATTTTTTGTGCTGATTGAATGGCATGAATATTAACGACAGCTCCCAAAATTCTCTCAAAAGTGATGAAAACCTGTGTTAATCTACATGTATGTAAAACTTTCTACAGTCGACAATTCACCAGAATTAGGGCCAATTCACACAGTGCTACTCAGGCAATCATGATGGCAAACTGGCCAACAATGTCCGAGTATCGCGTGATAAGCACGCATGATGCATCCAGACTAGTGGGCAATAAACCTTGTGCCGCAGCAGGAATTTGTTGAAACACGCTTCAAGTATGAGCAAAACAACCTCAAATTAAACTCATGAACACAGAAAATACATAAATAAGAAACCAAGCTCTGTGAATGAACTTGCAGAAAATCTCTTGCAACATCGATTTTTTTTCAAACTTTTGCTTTAGCATTGCATGCGACGTGTATGGCTGATGTATAAATCGACCGTAATGTACATTATGTATATATACATGTATATATACTGGCCCTGGTTGCTACATTTCCATTACGCATTCTGTTGCTTGTGCGCGGCGGGAACCAGAGCAGCTTCGTTTAATGCACTGAGCTTTGTGCACGTGTTTTCACACAGCGAACGTCAATGAGAACTGTTTGTGAAAGTTGGAAATTAAAAAAATGAAATTTGTGTGACAAACAAGTGGTAAGGTTTGTCTAAATTTGCAAAATAATCGCCAATTTTTCTTGCCAGGTAAATGGAATAATAGCCAAAATTATAATTATTCACCAATTGGTGAGAGTGGCGAACGGCAGCTGGAACCCTATGTATACAGCACCATGGTATTTGGGGAATACCTTGTCAACTGACCAACCATGTTCCCAATGAAAAAAAAGCAATAAAGAACATCAAATTTAGGAAAATATACAATTACACACTGTACATGTACCTGGTAGTTAACGGTACATGTATCTATACAACCAACCATGTTCCCCCCAAAAAAATGGAAAAAGGGAAAAAGCCATGAGAAACATGGAATATAGGAAGATGCCCTTATAGGGTCACTCTACAGATTTATCAAGTAAAAATTTGGAGATTCAACCTTTTTAACAGGAAATACATGTACTGTGCTTGAAGCAAACCTCCATCTTGCTACATGTATGGTGCACAGGCTTTCTAACAACCAGGGCATATGCCAGCCACGTTACTTGAATCCCCCCCTTTCTCAGGCTCAAACCCCCTCATACACACACACACACACACTTGTTGAACCACAACTTGGGCTACTGGCCCTTTGCAGATGTCGTCACACATCCGATCAGCGTCATTTTGGAGTCACACAGAGACATCCCATTTGTTCACATTTCGAAAGAGGAACCTTCCGCCATGATCCAGTTCTCCTGTTCTGTGTGTACTGGTTCCGCCAACAGATTACACATTCACTTGGCAGCACATGACTCCTCTCCTGGTGAGACTTTGTTAGTGATAAGGTGAACCTCAGAGGCAGTTTCTTCAGAGATTCAGAATGCAGACTCAGAGTCGGCATCTTCAGCTGAAAGAAAATTCACATGACATGGCAGGTTGAAAAACCAAAGGAAACAGTTGGAGTTCCCAGTGCGACTGTTAATTAACTTAGAATTTCAAGCATATCTATAACAAAAAGAAAAATATCAACCTGGAAAATATTAACTTTCATGGAAGGTAAAATATTAACTAATTATGGGAAAACTTCTAAGTTCAAGAAAAATTGCAGACCACCCTATTGTGAAGAATTTGTCACTCTTGTGCAGTACATGTTTGGAATGTTGGACAACTCGTACCCAGAATAACCCATACCACTGACATGTCGTATCCAGGACAATTCATACCCAGGGCAACTCATAACCCAAGAGAAAATTACATTTTATCATAGCTTGTGACAGCATCACATCAGAATTATAGAATAGCATATCCAATCTGGTTTTTGATTGCTGATGATGCAGTCGTATGTTTTTGGATTTTCTTCAGTTAGCACTAAAAAAAATTAAGCCTTGTTGAGTGGGTATGAAGTTTCCCTGGTACATGTACATGATGTCTCTGGTACGAGGTGGCACGTGTATGAGTTATCCCAGGTGTGAAATTTTGGGTATGAGTTGTCCCGGGTACAAGATGTCCCGATCATCTTGTCAACCTAACTGTATGTACACTGTACCTATCAAGTGAAACCACTGTGATACATGTACAAAATGGTAGACATTGATAGAGGCCTAATTGTTAAAACCTAAAAAAAACACACATGGAACAGTCTTTAACACAGTAAATAAAACTGTAGAAGTGCATGGAATCGTCAAGTACTGTTGTGGAAGAGAGGGGAGAAAGTACCAGTACATGTCTAGTCATGCATGTCATGTCATACTTTATCATATTTATTAAATTCATAATGGCAACAGTATACTCAACTAACGATACAAACAAACTTCACCATTATCGGCATCTTCTTTAGTTTTTCTGCCCTGGGCCCGTTGTATTTTATTTACATTGCAAAACCTCCGGTAGCAATGATGGTGATAACCCACTTCATTTGGCCAGGGCTGGAGTGCTGAATCATTTGCCACGTCGCTCAAATTCAAATGGTGTTTTGGGGCAAACTTTGCAACAATTTTGGCCTCAACCGAGTCAGGAATCTGCATCCACTGGTAACCGCAGCTGATAAACTTACTCCAACTTGAACTTTTAAAAGCTATAAGCTCCCTAAATTCATCCATGTAAACATGCATACAACAAAAATTCAGCTGCATTTCCAACGAACCCTTGTCTTCTATGGTCGCCGCCATCTTGGTTGGCGTATTATTTTACGAAGACATAAAAGAGGATGATCAGCGAGTAATTTCATTGGTTAATAATAGATGATGTAATCCTTATTTGCTTGCTTTCCAGATCGTAAAACCGTTGCCAAATTTATAATATTTTTGACAAAGTGTGCAAGTGTTGTGAAAGGCAACATTCCAAATCAAATTTTTTGTAGTATTTTGTGCATTATCTGACAAAAATTGTGTGGCCCTGAAGAGGGGGTCACGGTTAGTAACATTTTGAGCAATCACCCTACAGTCTAAGTTATGAGAAACACTACCACGTTGAATTTAAAAATGCGGTTGTACATGTGTGTACTGTTTACCATGTTTACTTAAAACTTCAGAGCCCCTGCCATTAACTTTTATTTATCACATTCCTTTGTTCTAAATGGAATTGCAGATTTGTCTGTGGTACATGTACATCCTCATGAGTAGGGACCCATCTCGAGTGTATTTCCACTAATAAAACTTATTAAAAAAAAACCAGTGGGTACCTTTTACATGTACATGTAGCTGAATATCTTAGTGATCCTTATTGTGAACAGACCAAATGGATAAATTTACCGGTACATGACCAGTTACTTACTTTTTTGGACCTGGTACGTGTACATCTACAATTCTAGTCAATGTACATGTTCCTAAGGTATGATTTACATGTATCATAGGTCCATGAATTTAGGATTTGTTGATGTTGATGGGTCCATTGTTTTTGTTATCATCTCTCATTTTCCGTCGCCTCTTTCTCAACAGGTTTCTGATGTGACTCCACTGAGTGCTTTGTCAGCACCTGTTGCTCCTGCTATCTTAGGTATGGATCCTACATTTGCTGCTCTTGGGTTACCTCAACCGCCTCCACTCAACAATGTGGATCCTACCAAGATTGAGGAAATTCGCAGGACTGTTTATGTTGGGAATCTAGATTCTGGAGTAAGTTGCAAATATTAAGTAATTTTTTCTTTTGCCTTACAAATTTTATTTATGATTTCTGTTGTGGTGCTTACAAAGGTTGTCAGGCCTGGGGACAATGGCTGACAACATGTACTTTATAGCTGCTTAAGCACAAAATTTGCTTAAGCGCGAGAAAACTTTGATAAATCAGGAAACCAGCCAAAACTACATGTGATGTATATTGTTTTGGAATCGTATTTAGCTGTCTTTTGGTTAGCATGATGATTGGATAGAGTTTGAGCTGGTAACCTTTATTTTTTAAGCAAGGATTTTTTGCGCTTAAGCTGATTTTGTGCTTAAGCAGCTCCATGAAATTGGCCCCAGATACAGTGAAATCTCGATAACTCAAAGTCGGTTAACTCAAAACTCCGCTTAACTCGAAGAATAATTAATTCCCGCCGAAAGAATAGGCTTTTATGTACGAAAACTTATCCGTAACTTGAACTGCTCACGTTGCCGGATTCGTTTACCTTGAAGTTTTTGTGTAGCAGATCCAAAAGAAACCGCCGCCAAAATACTTCCAGAAAGTGTAAACAGAACGTGGGTCTAGTTGGGAATCATTTCTGACGCGCACACTTCGTCTTTTCACACAGGAAAACTTGGAAGCGCGCTACAATGATGATCGATCTAGACACGTAAACCACACCGTGACTGCAAAATCCGACTTGCAGGAATTGGCCAATTGTTGCCGTGGACCCATTGTAGCCAATGCGTCAGCAGGCGAACTGATGGCTCTTTGCGGTGGCTGTGGCAATGCATTGGAGATCTTTGTGTATGTCGCACACGCCACACGTACGGAAGTTAAGTCTGGCCTAATGGTCTGGCCCAACTGCTTGCGCTCGCCCTTGTGATGGCTGCCCAATTAGAGCCACAAACTACAGCATGCCCACGCCCAGTGGACCAACCACATGACTGCAGTGCAGAGCTTTTGCGTAGCCAAATCTCACTCCCAAAAAATTAACAAATGTTTGAAAATAAAGAACCAAGAACAAAAATAAAAACAGACACCAATAGCATTTTCGATTTTACGAAATTTTATTGAAGCGCAAAAAGGTGCGCCCTCATGTGATGAAAAGAGTCATCTGATTCATCGGGAAACCCCGTCTGAGTATGCATGTGCAAGGCGCTGCGTTGCGGTGTGGTATCACACGTCAGAAATGGGACCACCACAATGCGTCACACATGCACAACACAAAAGAAAGATTTGCAACACAAAGGTGCACAGTTTAAATAATTTACAGTACATGCAATGTGTTATTTTTCAGCCGATTGACAACAAAAATCCTCTGCAAAAATGTCTTTTTATGAACAAAAACTTGTGGCATCGAAGTAGAAGATAACCACAGTGTCATTTCAAAAGTCATCGTAGGGAGATTTACGGTAACTGTGCGTCATTGTATAGGTACATGTTATGATGTACATCTTAATAATGACTTAACTTTAAAAGAAATCGGGACCTTCTTTTAACTCAAATTTTGGATAACTCAAATTTTTTATCCATTCTCCAGAGATCCGAGGTATCGAGATTTTACTGTAACTGTATTTACATGTACATACCAGTACATGAATACATGGTCAGTTGTATTTAAAAGTTTTGAATCCTAGTTTAGTGTCTGTATGTATGCTTCAATGGTTTTTTTTCAGAAGACGTTGCAAAGAAAGTTTAAACAAATAAATTTAAACTTTCTTCAAGATATATATTAGTTTTTGTGTTACTAATTATGGAATGAAAATCGGAACCTGTAAGCAAAGAAATTTGTAGGAGCTGTTGCAAAAAATGCCGCTTTTGTTTGGCAGATGTAGCCACTGCGGGTTGACCCTGTTGCCAAGGACTGTCCAAAACACATTTTCATCACACTGAAATCACTCATGCAAAGGTGAGGTACCAACTGTACATGAAGGTGTTCAGGCCAATATTAATTATGCATCATTTACTACAATGACTGCATTTGGTTCACAGGGCTCAGGGTTTTTAAGGAAAACTCAATTGTCAGTTTATCAAAAATGAGTACTAACTTGAGCTTTTTATTGGCTCCATGATGTGAAACCTGAAATCATTTTTAATCAAGTCTTCATTGAGAGCAAGAATAAACATAAGAATTTTTACGTTGCTTAAACTTTGTTTAGCAAGGCGATTGTGGAATCTGTGAAAAACAGATTTGGAATTTACGTTGGTCATGATGACTTATTCCCACCCCTTGGAAAGTTTGAAGTAGTCCCCAATCATGCATAACCCAGTTGGAGCCACGTGTCCAAAATTTATGCCGGCCCCTGGCCTGTACCGTCTAGTGCAGGATTTGTTGCATGATTATGAATTTGAAAAAAATAAAAAACTTCTGGAATCATTTTACCAATACCTACAAGTATGCATTATTTCCTAGTCCGATACTTCCATTCGCTAAATTCTCGATCACCAATAGTGCGCCCCCACTCACTCGCCCCCTGGGAAGGCATCGCCCATGTTCGTCCTTTTTTTCTTAGTGCCATTTCATTACGGAAGGCGTTGTTTCAGCTCCAACTTTTGGGGAGTTTTTCCTTTGCTAACATGTGTTTCAGTGTTACTCTTCAGTCACCTTGTTTATTTGTTCCAACTCTTGTGAACAGTAAGATTATTTCTTTTTCATTTCATTTCTGGATATTTTACTGTTTTCTTTTCAGTCTTACGCAGGTGACAGACTGACCTTGTATTGACCTATTTTCAGAGTTTGCCAGATGGCGCTATTGCTTTTTGATAAATGTATTTTTCGTAGCTTCAGAATATATATTGAGTATGTGTGTTTGTTTAATTTTGCTTGCTTGTTTATATTCTATGATAAGCCCCAGTTGTGGCGTTCTTTTTTATAATTTGATTAGTTATTTTAAAAGCAGTTGATTCATTATTCTTGGATATTTTGCTTGTCAATTTTGCATAATTGCCAGATATTTCAGCGTCTCTGGTTTTTCTGATTTCTCTCTGTGTATTCTGTGTATTAGATGATCAAAAGCCTGAGGGAAGTTCAGGCAGCTCAAGGGTTTTCCGGTGAGCATGTCTCACCCTACGGGCTGCCTCAAGTATGCTTTGCTGTTGAGGCCTCTGTACACTGTCTATCGCTGTGTCTGTGCCTCAACCAACTATTCTTTGCATGTGTTCAGGCGTGCAGTAGGTGGTACTCTCTACCCGGCCACCCTACATTGTCTTCTGGGGTGGCCTCTGGTGAATACAACACCATGTCACGTACACTCAGTGTGAGCCATGGCTGAAAGAACTCCTTTCATTATGCTACGTATCAGCGTCTTAGCCAAGAAACAGAGAAAAGCATTATCTTATTCGACTTCCCTTCACTCCCTGGGCCGTTCCAGCTTACCGAGTGTAACCTTGCACGGGACCTGCGGGAGATAATTCTGCGCTATGCCCGCAGACCCCTTATGACCTCCCCACGCCTGATCCCACTGCTGTCTGAGAGTCTGTCATCAGGGAAACTAGGCGTGTCCTCACTAACAGCGAGCCATGGGCTGACTGTACTCCATTTTCTGGCCCTGCCCTGGTGGCTATGCTGTTCGTATTTGGTCCTACTATTGCTTTCTCCAATCCACATCCACGTTTTAGGCGTCCAAATTTACCGAATTTAAACCGTAGTGGATCCCAAACGTTTCTTGTTATTCAGATGTGAGATCCTCTAATTTTGGCGTGGCCAAGTTCACATACTGTTACAAGGTCCAACAAGAGTTGGTCTACTGTCGGCTGAAATGTTTGTTGTGAATGCCTTTTGGGTTCCTCTTCTGATTATGACCATGTGATCAATATGAAGAGGTATACTCGGCAGGGTTTTGTCTGATTTTTAAATTTATATTTGTGTTCATCAGAAAATAATTTGGAGTCTATGGCACTTACCTACTCAAACAGTCTCTACATATGCAAATTTCCCATGTGCTTTTTACTCATTTGCTGGAAGGATTTGATCACCTGTGGTGCACCCTGACCTCCCACAATGCAGTGCGGCCTCGCCATCATGATCATCCTTTTCTCGGCAAGGTAACGGACAAGTCTTTCAAGGCAGCTTCAATTTATCAAGCTTCCATTTTTGCTACACGGTTCTGTGTTGATTTGATCACCTTTCCTTCCTTTGTAAATAAAGCATAACCTGGATTTTATCCATTTATTAGTAAGTGTGTTCTTTTCATGTATATTTTTGTATTCTTTTTTTCAGTTTTCTTGTTTTGCACCCTGCAGGTATTTACCGTCAGTACTACGAGGTTTGTTCCAGGCCCCTAGTTCGTTCGGCCCCACGTAGCTGACAGGGAAGCTCCGTGTTCGACTGCGGAAGACCCGAGCAGGGACACCGCCAGGATCTGGCGAGGACCCTGTCTCCTCCTCAATTGCTAGCCTGGCGATCCAGCCGGAACTCCCAGAGAGTACCCCATCAGACGTCTCCGGGGCCCGCCCCACCATCATCATGAGGTGTGCCACGTCTTTTGCCCGACATGGCCCAGAGAAATCCACGCAGCATTCCAGCCCGCGTTCCCTGGCGACACCTAAGAGTACCACCCGCCGTTTGACATTGGCCTAGAACACTGCTTCTCCGGTGGTTCCCCCGTGCATACTCCATCTCGCCCATATACCAAAGTCACCAAGCGGGCTCTCCGCAAGTGCACCTGGTGCGCCATCATAAAGACAGAAAGAAAAGAAATTCCTTGTCATAGATATGACCTTTTATTATCAATGCTCGTCCTATCTTTCTTCGATTAAACATATATTGCGAGATTTCATCATGCTCCTTCCTCAAACGAACATGAGCCACTGTCCCACTTTTCCAGTTGGCTGTTACATGCAAATGTGACCAGCATCCGACATACATGTATCTATGTCGAAGGCATCCAGACGTAATCCACACAGTAGCACTTTCCGGGCTAACTTCCCATATTGTTGCCCCGGTGAATATAGTCTCTGTCACGGCCTTCTGGAGCTACTCTCGCTGCCATTGGTAGGCCTGCCCAGGCCACGGGGAAGCAAGTCCACGCCTTACCTGGTGATACCTAATGACAGCTACAAGTCTAAACCCACTGGCATTCGAGACTTCGTCACCAGGCACCAAGACAGGAATGAACAAATAATGTTTGCCAGGCAGTCTTCCTATCTTTTTCAGTTCTGTCACAGTGAATTCGTCATTGTGATGCAGACCTGCTGCGTCTCTCCAGTCCGCATCCCCAGGTATCCAAACCTAACATTCTTCAAGCCGTTGGGATATTTACACACCCCTTGGCACCCCGTAATCCAGGGTTTCCCCAAGGGGCTCTGCGGGAGAAATTTTGCGAATCTATTTCCACTGCTTCTCACCAGGCACAACCCTGTGATCAGCAGAATGACCATTCTGTGGCCCCCACTTACGTGGCTCCACGTGAGCACAGATTCCGCCATGCAGGCCTGCCATAATGCACACTATCCGAACACTGATCACTTCAAAGTGGTCATGTCCAAAATCTATTTACTGTGACTGTTACGAGGTCTATTAAAAGTAGGCAGCTGTGAGTCACCTATTTTGTTGCGATGGTGTCGCAAGCTTTCCTTTCTGATAACACTCAGCATGATCGAAATGATAATGCTCAGCATGATCACACAAAGAGAGAGAATTCTGTCAAACTGTATTCGTTTCTGAAATGAATACTTTCTGTTGTTATAGTTCTTAGCATGATTTCGGACATTGAAGTGGTTTTTTGTCTGCGGAGATCCTTTCCTTGAGTGGAAATTACTAGCAATTTCCTCCAGTCAAGGTTAACATGTACGTGTACTAGACTGAGTACTCTTCTCAGAGTGAGTTGCTATGGACGCTTATTCTGTTATATCAGGAATGTCATGCGGCCTCACTCCTCTACGGCCATTTATATTTCATGCATGCGTGAAAATGATCAAAGTTTTCCAACGCAGTCGGGGCACCTGCAGCTACGCTGGGTACAGAACATGGCTTACCTGCATTTTGACATGAACGTCTTCAACATCCTTCTGCATATTCAAGTATTATACACTGCTGCTAAAGACAACTTATGCATTTGACTTAGCAAGCCTTTTTTGTCAGGAACTCCTTCCTTGATAAAGACTGACACCAACTTTATCTAAGTTATATGAAGTCTTTGTCTCGGTCTCTGACCTACATGTATATCATTTCGTCCCCTCTTATTGTGGTAAATTACTTTGATGGAAAAGAAGAGTTCTCCTTTCCGCCCATACTTCACTACAGTCATGCTAGAGGCTTTGAATGATAATATCATCTCCATCTTTGAGTATGTCATGCGGCTTTCTTGCCTCTTGTGTTTTCAAACTGCCAACCAAGGCCACATTTAATAACAGAAAGGACAGGGGATCAGCAGTTGACCTACACAATCCACATGGCAGGGTCTGATGACGTAGTGGTGGATGCACTCTCCCTGGGATGATAGAGCAGCCTTACATCGATCTCTTCTCTTCCATTGATACTTTCCGGTCTTTGAACCCTAAATAATGCCTGCTTTATGCACACCCAGTCAGGTTGGCCCTTCTCCTGAAAATGGTTGCCTCCTGAGGAGGCAGCACACTATAGGCTCTCCCCATTGCCTTGGGCCGTCTATGGTGGGAGCCACATGGTGTTCACCCAATTCCTTCGATTGGCTTCCTGACGAAGGATCATATTCCCTCACCTGATCCTTCTGATATCTTTACACT